GTGTGTGTGAGCTATAGAACAGTAACATCAGCCTCACCTGGGAGCTTGTTAGAAATGCAGATTCTCAGGCCCCACTCATAACGCATTTTAACAAGATCCCATGGGATTCGTAAGCACATTAAATTCCAGGGAGCTCACATTTTAGGCTCTTTAACTCCAGCCCAAGAAAGGGAGACTAAGGGTCTTTCAGGGACCTGAAGTCAGAGCATATAGGCAATCCCAGGGTCTAAGACAGTCTCTGTGTGTGTCTTTTTCCACATAGTTTACTCTCTCTGCTTCTTTTTATTTATTTATTTATTTTTTAAAATTCCTTTTTGTCTTTTTTTACTGACCAGTAACGGGATCGCAACCCTCGGTGTTGCGCCCGCACCGCGCTCAGCCAGTGAGCGGGAACCGGTCTCCACCTGGGATCCGAACCCTCGGCGGGAGCACCACCGCGCTCCCAAGCGGCGCACTCTCCAGTGCGCCACCGGGCCGGCCTTACTCTCTCTGCTTCTAATTGCTTCTACTCCTGCTTCTTTCTGCTTGTTCATCAGCCAATGTGGACCCCAAGCAGCTATTCCAGCCCCTGGGAGTATGGAGCCCTCCACCTTCAGAGACCATCAGCCAAAGGATCCCAGGTCCTGGGCCTCTCTGTTCAAATTCTGCAAAGACATCCTGATTGGTTAGGCTCATGGACCAGGCATGCAATCAGCTGTGGCCAAGGAGTGAAGGGTCATGTGTTACTAACATGACAGCAGGGGCCACCTGAAGCTGTGCTCAGTGGGATGGGAGGAGAAGAAGCTAAACTGTAAGGGAAGGCAGGTGATACAGGCAAATCGACCATGACCTTTGCTACAGTGGCCACTTTTCCTTCACTCCCTGAGCTGTGGCCTTAAGCAGCTGAGGTACCAGCATGGAGCTGCATGTATAGTAAGTGTCCAAGTGCTCAGGGGCCTCAAAGTGGACAAATATGTCCTAAACATGTTAAAGGCACACCATAGACATGTGGATTTTCTCCTTCAGGGAGCCTTTCCACACTGGCTCTGTCCTCACTGAGCTCTCCTTCCTACCATGCTCTTAGTCCCTGGAGTTAGTACTTGGAATCTAAGATTAGAAGGATCCTGAGAAGTTATCTGGTCCAGAATTTTCCAAAGTGTGCTCCATAAACACTTGTTTTTACTGGAACTTCCCAAAAAGGGTTCCCAGGTATGGTGAGTTTAAGAAACCCTTCTCATGATGTCTTCCTCTTAGAGAATTACAAAGCTTTTCACTCACTGAAGGCTCTGACAAGTCCTGCAGAAAAAGGAACTTGTCTCCTTTTGGCTAAGCCAGGGCTGCCCGAAGTCTCTCATGGAGCCCTTTCTTTCACATAATGATAGTATCTCACAAAACCAGTGTTTGATGGAACCCATTTGGGGAAATGCTGATTTGCCCAACCCTTTGTTCTATTTTGTAGATGGGGGTGCTGAGTAGGTGGTCAGGCCTAGGCTGATTGAATATAACTGAGCAGCAAAGGCTTAAAGAGATAGGGGTTTGTCTCTTTTGTACAAGAAGTCTGGAAATAGAGACTGGTTCCATGTCTAGGAGGGCTTCTCAGATGAGCCCAAGAAAGAGCAGAGATACGGGGGTGGGGAGAAGAGCAGGCCCCCCTGAGGAGGAGATGGTGAGGCTGGGCTGGCTTTCTCACCAGGGGTTCCCTGAACCTGCTAAAACAGCCTAGACCCGGGAGGAGTTGGTGGCACAAAAACCCAATTCAATTCAACCAATATTTAAAGGGGACTAAAGCAGTTGTCTTCTGGGGCCTCTTTAATACCCACACAGAGTGGCTTGGGAAACCCACCCCTTGTTCTGGGGGAAGCCTGGCCTCCCATCCCCAAGGATGGATGCTGGGGGCTGGCTTTCCCCCCTGACTGCCTCTTGCTCCCGTCTTTTCTCCTGCTGGACATCTCCACTCTGAAGATCGCCTGCTGACCCATTGATTACCTGAGTTGGGCTGTCTTTCTGATGCCTTCATTCTGTCTTGTGCCACTAACCCAGGGACGTGGTTAGGATTTTGCTGAGGATTTAGAGTAATGGAGGGAGACTACAGCATGAAGCTGAACATGTGATGACACCTGCCAAGTGCATGTTAGACCTCACTGTCATGAGAGTTACTTGCTGCTCCCCACCTCACTAGGTGTGCCCCTTTCTTAGGCCCTTATGGTTACTCTCTTCTCATACTGTTTCTCTTGGGACATTTCTCTTTCCTTCCCTGGTAGCTGTCTCCAAAATTCCTGTATTTTCTCACGCAGAACAGTTGAATTCTCCCCTCCTCACCCAAACCAGGCTTCCAGACCCCTTAGCAATGCCAAAGCTCACAGGGAACTGTGAAAAGAAGCAACTCCAGGGACCTACAAAGAACCTGCGGAGAGTTGGAAAATTGATTTTTTTCCCTTAGTGTATTCCAGATCACATTCTTGGCAGCCCTCCCACCCTCTGTTGACCTCAACACACCCCAGGGCTGAGGTGGGGCAAGGTGGGTTCCTCCCCTTCCATACAAGAGTACCTACTATGGGCAGGGCTGTGTTGGGCATTATAGCCAGAGATGCAAGTCAGGCGAGACCCCCTGCCTCAAGGAGTCCAGACTCTAGAAGGGAAACTTAGCTTCAACGTTAAAAAATAAGGAGTGCCAAGTGGAGGTGGGGAGGGGGGAGGGAAACGTTGCCTATTCAGAGTAGAGAAGAACTCTTCAGGCCGGAAGGTCAAGGAGGACTTCCTCTAGGAAGTGGCGTTTGAAGAGGGCCAGATCAGATGGCTTAACTTGGGGACAAGCGTGGGGGAGGCCAACCAGGGTGATGTGTGTTTTTTAAAAAAATTCTCCCAGCTCTGCGTCTGACAGATTTCACCTAAACCAGCCTCGCTAAATCTCAAGCCCCATGAAACCCGTTTCTGTTATAATCTCTCTCTCTTATCTCTTCCTTGCCTTCCTTTCCCATTCTCCTCCCCCAAAGGATGGGAAATCTTCAAAGAAAAAGATGTGTCACTGTAAGTATATACAGCCCAAGAAATGGGCCAGATAAATTATTAAAACACATAAAAAGACAGTCAGTTGTGGGGCGGGAAGCCCCTGGAGGCCAAATAGTCACCCCAGGTGGACAGTGTGCTGGTGACCTCTGGGGAGCGCCTCCTCTGAATGCTGGCCAGGCTAATGTTTCACCCACAAGGTCCACCTCTCTGGTTTCTGGCCCCAGGGCCAAGTGGGGTGGGAGGTGTCAGGACTCCAAGAGCCTGTAGGGCTGGGAAGGACCAGTCTGAAGGTGGAGGGGAGTCTTTGTGTCTGGGCTGGACATTTGGGATTTACTTCCCCTAAGACTCAAACTAGTAACTGCAGAGTTTTAATTCTTGCTTTTATCTTTTTGAACTGTAAAAAGAAATTCCCCAGGGGAAGAGGGATACTTTTTTCTCATGAAAGAAGAAAGCCATGACTAGTTTAAGGAAGTAACCAACTTTCTAAACACTGTGAGAAAGAACGCTCAGAGTTTTACTTTGATTTAGATGCAGCCTGGCACCGGTGGGGGGTGGGGGTGAGAAAGACAAATAGCACCCCCAAGGGAATGCCATTTCCTTTTGAGGGGGTCTGCAGGAAGGCTCCCCCTCTGGTTCAGAGATGCAAAACCCCTGCTCCCTGCTACTCCTGACCCCCTGTAGTTCTGCTCTACATTTTCATTTTTCTACAGTTCAGGGGCTCTCACTTTGCCTATACTGACATTTGGGGCCTGATAATTCTTTGTTCTTGGGGGCTATCCTGTGCATTGTACAATATTTAGCAGTAACCATGGCCTCTACTTGCTGGATGCCTCCAGACATTGCCCTGGGGGATAAAATTGCCTGCTATAGCTGGTGGCGTTGTATAACTTACCACACTATTTACTGATTCATTACGTTTATTGTTTCTTGCCCATCTTCACTCCAGAAAAGTGTCAGTTCCATGAGAATGGCAATGTCTGTTTTGCTTGCTGATGTATCTTAAGCTCCTAAAACATTGCTTGTCACATAGCTGCCACTTAATACTTGTTTCCAGACAGGGGACTCTCTCTCTAATGGTAGGATGTTAGGTTGGGACTGTGTTGGGACAACCTGACGTAGTGAAAACAAGCATGGGCAATGGAATCAACAGACTTAGGTTCAGTTCCTAACCAGGTCACTGACTAGCTGTGTGGCTAGGGAGTTCACCTCTCTGAGCCTAGTAGGTTTCCTCCTTTCTAGAACAAGTAAAACTCTGCATCAAAGAGTGGTTGTGAGGGCTGTACATGACATGGAATAATGACTGGCACATAGTAGGCATTGGATAAAGAATTGCAATATAAAAATGACATTAGTAATGTTTTTTGTGATCCTGGCACTCCTCAAATGAAACCACCCTGCCAGCAGCATTAATATACCTGCTTATAAGATTAGCTTTCATTTCTACCAAAAAGGGTGTGTAAAAAAGGAAGCTTGGAGGATGGAAGTAGGATATGGTTGGACGAAGAGATTTATGACTCTGGACACCATGCAGTTCCCAATGTCCTTTTGAGACATGTAGGTGCTGCAGAGTTGTGCTGTCCCTTATAACAGCCACTAGCCATGTGCTGATGGTCAATTGCAATGTGGCTAGTCTGGGTTAAGATGTGTTTTAAGTGTAAAATACACATCGGATTTTAAAGACAGCACAAAACAAAGAATGTAAAAGTATTATATGTTGAAATTATAATATTTTGGATGTATTGGGTTTAATTAAATATGTTATTAATATTAATTTCACCTGTTCCTTTTTACTTTTTTTTAAGAATGTGGCTACTAGAAAATTTAAAATTACACATGTGGGTCACATATTTTTACAGGACAGTGCTGCCCTAGAGCGTCGGCAAAAAGGGCAGAATTGGGCCTCCATTTTACAGATCATAAAACTGAGGCTTACACAGAGAATTCAGTCAAAAGGGCAGAGATGGTCTGAGCTTGGGGTTTTCTTTTCCCACATCCAGCTGCCTGATACCAGGATGAGCTTAACACGGCTGATGGTGCGTGTCCCCAGCAGAGTAGGCATTCTCTCTGAGAGCCACAAAGGTGGGATGGAACCCCTTGATGTCGCCCTCTCCTTCGCAGAGACCTCCCCAGACAAAACAAACAAACCCTTGGGTCTGGCGAACTGCAGCGGGGAGCGGAAATCAGGGAAGATCAAAGACCCAGCGGTTACCCCCTTCCGGGCCGCGCAGCTTGGCAGCGTGCCCCGACCCCGGGTGTGCACCCACCGGCCCCCGGACGAGGAGATCCGAGCTGACAACTCGGAGCTGTTGGACACTCGTTGCCGCCAGGAGTGGGCTGGGCCCACACAGGCCCGAGGTGCGCTGGGAGCTTCTCCCGCACTCCCAAATAAAAAACTAAAGGGGTCCTAGAGGGCCATGGGGCGGGTAATAAACATAGACTTTCTGCAGAAGCCAGGTCGTGGGAAGACTGAGAAGAGGCCACTCAGCAGACGCGCAGCAGATGCTTGCGCTGGAGCAGCTAAAGTCTCCTCGCCCGACCTCAGTTTCCCCAGCTGTAAATTGGAACCGCCGAGTCCTGCCCTGCCCGCTTCGAGGAAATACAGAGTAGAGGGAAGGCACAGGAGTGTTAGCGAGGGGAGCAGCTGTTCTACACAGGGCGGCACCCAAGAGAGTGTTCGTCCCAAAACACCTCCTGGCCAGACCCTCCCCACTCGGGTCCCCAGCCCCTGGCCCCCCA